CTTCCCTTCCCTTCCCTTCCCTTCCCTTCCCTTCCCTTCCCTTCCCTCCCTTCCCTTCCCTTCCCTTCCCTTCCCTTCCCTCCTCTCCTCTCCTCTCCTCTTCTGTTCCACTCCATTCCATTCCATTCCATTCATTACTAGTTTTTTGGCTTGGTAGCTCCACGTTTTCTCTTATATATTCTGAAATTCTCATAATAGGTTAACATGCATTACAACTACTTTTCTTATCCCTAATATAGGCAGCACTAGTGACTTTGTGGGATGTGATGGTTGTGAACAACTGGCAGGTTTTCTTGGAGGCATATTCCAGATATACTTCTCCGTGAGTAATAAACTAAACCTATGCTTTTTGCAATGCATTTGGTAACCTAATTCAGACATGGACTTCTCAAATTATCAGACAAGTCTCCAATTAAAAAAATCTGCGCTTTATCTCGTACTATATACTCTGTTTTGTTGTTTCCTTCGTCTGTGCAGAAGCAGCAAAAACAGAATCCCTATTACATGGCAGACTCATCATTGTGGTTACTTTTACAATGTATAGTCCTTGATGCTCAGCAAACCCCATTCCCTTCTAGTACTTATGATGTTACCTAGTTGGGTAGTGAAATGTCTGCAAAAACAAAACAAAACTCAGCCAAGCTCAAAAAGTGCCAAGGATCCCACAGTTGAACTCTAAGCTATAAACATTCTCTTCTATTAGTTTTATGCTCTCAGAGAAAGTGAAAAATAGAGTGGGAACACATTGGTTGCCTCTTTTGGAGCACTGCCAGGATAAGCCATCAATCAACAATAATAAGCTAGTATAGCAAGAGAGATATAGGCGGTTAATTATTTTTAAAAAGCAAGTTATGATACATAAACTGCAAAATCTAGAACTGGTAATAGTCTTAATTAGATTAGAACATATGATCAATGGAGATTATCAATCATCCAGGTCATAGTTGTCCCAAAAAACAACTGGACTTTCTCGTCCCCCCACCCTCTGAAAATACCTTGCTCATCTGGTTGTTTTTCAGAGAACTGAAATGTTTTCAAAGGAAAAAAACCCCAAGAAAGTCCAATTACCTTTTGGAAAAAGTACGTTTGGAGCCAGCAGTAGAGTGGATTTAGATTGCATCCTGCAGGATATCTAGGACAAAAAAAAAATCGACAAGAAAATTCTAGAGGCATAAAAAAAATGCTAAAAGACCACAAGAAAAATTTAAGTGGCAGGAATAATTCACCTATGAGAATACAAGGATATGCAACTTTGTAATTTGTAACAGGAACTGGAAGGAATACCAAACAGGAAATGTGTGGTGTGCTACAGGTCACACACAGTGCAGGGAATTCTAAGACTGGAATTGTAATAATAGGCATAACTTGATTTTATCTTCTTTCTTTCTTTTTTCTTTTACAGCTGGTCAAAATTGTACTTTGTCACCTGGTGGCTGACTTCCTCTGTCATCTGGGTCAATCTTTTTATAGCCTTGCTTTTAGAGGTAAGGCTTGACTGGCCATCCAAAGCCATAGGCCTAAAGAACACATGAGCATTTACGGGTGGCTTCACTTGGAGTAACAAATTGCATTTATGGGTGGTTTCACTTGGACTAGCAAATCTCCTGATGTCACAGTAGGATGGACAGCATATACAGTACTAAGTTATCTGGAAAAATAGTTTTTAAATTAGGTTACCAGAGTCGAAAGTTCATTTGTGACTTTCCATGGAAGCCCCTTTCACACACACACACACACACACACACACACACACACACACACACATTTAATATTAGGTTCCAGAAGTAATACATATTACTATGGATGACACTTACCTTGAGCACCTTGTGTTGGGCAATTTCAAGTTGATTTGTAAGGTGTTTCCTTTCAATTGTTAATAAAGGAAGTACGCTGTCCATAGAAATGTGTGCTTCCCTTAAATCTTATTCAATGGAACCTTCTCTCTTTTTAGACGCCCAAATTTCAACCCAGTTATAATTTTTGTTGCTGTGACTTCCACAAATAGCTATCTCTGATTATATGCTAATCACAGGAATTGGCTGCAGGCCTTGATTTTTTTTTAAAAAAAAATTGCAAATGAATTAAGAGGCTCCTCTCTCATAAAATGGTATTCGTTTCCTCTTCTTAAATTGCAGAATTTTATTCATAAATGGGATCGTCGCTGCCATAGGCCATCTCTCTCAGAAGTCGAATATCAAATGACAGTGGAACTCCTCTTCAGGTACAAGCACAGCAACACAGCCGCTTTGTATTTTTAATTGAGAAATAAACTTACCAAGAACTAGAGTGCAACAAATGTGCGTTAACAGTTGTTGTTTTTACTGCCAGGACTGAAACACTCCCAATGGGAAACAGCCTCAGGGACTCCATGCAACGAGTGCCAGAATTTAGAGCATGTTGCCCTATTTTATTTTTATGTGATTAGAGGTAGTCCTCAACTTATGGCCACAATTGAGCCCAAAATTTCTGTTGCTGAGACATTTGTTTACATTGTTAACAAAATGAAATACAATGTAGAGAAAAGTAAAGTCCAACACTTAGGCAAGAAAAACCAAAAGTACACATATAGACTGGGTGAAACCAGGCTCAATAGCAATAACTGTGAGAGGGATCTTGGAGTCCTAGGGGACAACCAGCAAAATATGATCCAGCAGTGTGCAGCAGCAGCCAAAAATGCTAATGCAATCCTAAGTTGCATTAGCAGAGAGATACAATCAAGATCAAAGGAGGTACTAATACCACTCTGTAAAGACCACACCTAGAATACTGCATCCAGTTTTGTTCATCACATTACAAAGAAGATGTTGAGACTCTAGAAAAAGTACAGAGAAGAACAACCAGGATGATTAGGGATTGGAGGTTAAAACATATGATGAATGGTTACAGGAAAGGACCAGGAGAGACATAATAGTGGTCTTCCAATATTTGAGGGGCTGCCACAGAGAGGAAGGGGTCAAGCTATTTTCTAAAGCACCTGTAGGCCAGACAAGGAATAATGGATGGAAACTGAACAAGGAGAGATTTAACCTGGAAATAAGGAGAAACTTTCTGACAGTGAGAACAATCAACCAATGGAACAGCTTGCCCTCAAAAGTTGTGGGAGCGCCATCACTTGAGACTTCCAAGAAGAGGTTGGACTGCCATTTGTCAGAAATGGTGTAGGGTCTCCCACTTGGGCGGGGGGTTGGACTAGATGACCTACAAGGTCCCTTCCAACTCTGATTATCTGTTATCTGAGTTTTGCCCCATTTGATGACCTATCTTGCGACTGTAGCTTTGAACAGTCACTAAATGAATACTCTAAGTCGAGGACTACCCATATACGATACGCTAGCAACGTTGCTGGAGAATCTATTTTAAAATAAAGCAAAAATATAATTTTGCATATGAAATATGTAATGAATGATGGCCTACAAAAGCTTTTAACGTTAAAATGCCTAGGGAAGTTATTTCTGGTGTATAAACATATGTAAAGTGTCTGTACTAAGACACTGGCTCTGCTATTTTTCAGTGATTCTGGCTTGTTCTTTCAGGGATGTTTTAGAAGAACCAACGGAGGAAGAACTGATTGCAAGACTTCACCAGCATCCACATATGCATCTATATAGATGACGCTTTAGCTGGAAGTGGCCATCCAGCCTCATCATGCCTGCATGCAGGTTTTAGAGCTGAAGAGAAGATAACACTTATTTCTTTCTAGAAAGAGTGCTAAAATCTTGATTTTATTTTTGAACATTGCTAAAGGACCCTTGGGTTCACTCTAAACATATTTTTTAAAATCCTAATTTGACTTCCTTTTAAGTTGATTTATGGAATAGAGAATTATGCTTTTAAGAAAGGGAAATGGATCAGTGATACTGCACTTTATAGTAAATGTGGTGGAACAAATAATCAAATCATCTGGTCTGGTGATAGCGCTACAGACAGTGCAAAATGCAAACCTTCTACAGAGGCAAACTTCCTTTTTTTAGTATTTGTTCTGTGATATGCTAGGGCAGTGCCTTATTGTTTGCAAAAATGTTTTAGTAAATGTCTAAATGTTTCAAATACAGGATAAATGTTTAAAACTAAAGTTAGGGATTCATATAAAAGGTTGTTATATGTTCCAATGCGGCAAGCTATTTTAGAAAGAAGAAGAAGACCATTCCAGTTTCAATATCTGTCCAAATCTTCATAGCAACTTCATGCAGATATCACTTCAACCCTTGGTTGACTGTATGTTACATTAATGATGTACCTAGGAGCCTTTGGGGACTTGAATTCATGGCATTAAGGTGCTTAATATTTTGTCTCCCTGCCCCTCTAATCCCTTTCCTTATCAGAAGCAGCCCTTGTAATTTTGAGACAATCTAGATTAAGACCATCGTGGGAAGCGAATGGGTTACAACCCCTATTTCTTGTTTGAGGCTCAACTTTGCCTTGTTTTCCCATTTTTGGTGAAGCCTAATCTGAGTGTCATTGCTGAAATAAGTACTGGAGAGGAAAAGAGTTGAAATAATTGGCTTTTTCTTTATTGCAGAGACTAGGTCTATGTCTCATACTTGGGTTCTTAGGTGAGTTTTGTAACTGTCCACACGTATTGTGGCAAACATTTTGTGAGCGCTCCCCAACCCATTTTGCAAGAACACCTCTGACACATAGACATTACTCAAAATGCACTCATTGGCCATAAAATTTGGGAACCTAATAAAAATTCAGCATTGTTTCATGTCAGTAAGAACAAAATTATAGAAATTAAGTCTTAGTCCTTTTAATCATATCAGCAGCAAATATATTTGGATCGGCTATCTTATGATTCCATCAGATGTTATGTAAACATCTATCTGTGTGACTCCCTGAGATTCCTATGTCTTTGATCTGAAAAGATGATCCATCTAAAATTCACCAATTCAGTGAATTATAGAACTTCCATTCTATTATTAAATTATTTCATTCATTCAGGGATGCTAAATAGAATTATTCTTCTACTTCTGATTTTTTTTCATCAGTATTGAAAGGGAAATTCTTTGACACTAAAGAATTTGATTAAATAACCATGGTCATCTCATAATGTTTGGTTAATTAAAAATGCATTGAAATATTAATTCTCTTCCTTAAGCAATGTAGTACTTTTCATATACTATATGCAATGTTTCTCAACCTCAGCAATTTTAAGATACGTGGAAATGCTTGAGTAATTCTGGTAGCTGAAGTTCACACATCTTAAAGTTGATGAGGTTAAAAAAATAATAACATATATAAAGGCTAGATTTTTCTTAACCCGATTTTCTGGGTCCACACAACATACTGGTAGGCTGGTTTGCTTTAAAACTGTGCAAGAGATTTTGCAGTGAGATGTTTTTGGTATGAACTCTCACAGAGTGCAAAATCACCAGTTTTGCACATTCCAAGAAATGTTGAGCTCAAAACAGCTCAGTTTCCAGATGACTCAAAACAATTTTTGAGTGCTCATTATGGGGTTTATTTTCTTTGTTGACAGAGCTCCCATTTTCAAAAGAAAATCCTTTCTTTACTATATTACGGATCAATTGCATTTTGAATATTACCCTTCCTTAAAAATTCTGTTACACAAAGAAAGTTAAGGAAGAGCAACTAGACTATAGCCTTTTTCTGAAATATTAAATCTATTTTACGCTACTAATATATGCTAACTATATATCTATATCTACAGAAACTTTGGCATTCCTTTAAACCCAAAGTTTTCATAGCTTACTTCAAGGATGAGGACCTATTGACTATTTCTAGGGCTGTCGAAGCAGCTTCAGGAGGACAATTCCCTTATCCCTGGCTTCTTTTGGTTTGATTTGTCCTTTGGGCATCAATAACAACTATTACATACAACATGATTCTTTATGGATCTTTTCATTAAATTTAAGCTTAAGAAAAATGAGAGTTTTTCTGTACTCAGGATATGGCAGGTATAACTTCCAACATTCTTCATGCTACGTTTTCCAGTGGTGCAATTTGGGCAATTCAGGTATACCAGTGCAATATAATTTTGAATTTCTCATGCTCTGAGAACATATGAAAAAACCACTAAAGTTGTTTGGATATTATGAAGTTTTATGTATTAATTTGGGGGCGGGGGACGGGGATAAATTGTAAAATGTATCTATGTGAGTCCTTTTTTAAGAGCACAGATGTTAGTATATTTAATTAAAATATTTTTGAAACAGTTGGGAGTTTTATAAATTATTTTGTGTTTCTACTAGAATTAAATCTGAAGTCCCAAATCTCAAGTGGTTTGGCTTTCTTCATGCATTTTGCTGTAAGTTCTCAAAAAGATATAGAGCAGGGGAGTCCAACCTTGGCAACTTTAAGACTTGTGGACTTCTACTCCCAGAATTCCTCAGCCAGCTTGGCTGGTTGTGGAATTCTGGGTGTTGAAGGTCCATAAGTCCTAAAGTTGACACAGTTGGACATCTCTGGTTTGGAGTAAAACTGCAAATATGTAAATTAGATTGATCATAGCATCAATAGCATCAGACAGCTGTTGCACAGTTTCTACAGTTTTTAATGAAACATCATCCACTACATGGTACAGTACAATGGAAGTATTGCCGTCATGTTGCCTGACTCACATAAACTGAGTATCATACACACAGAGACTTGATAGTAATAGTTTTTGTGTTATCCTGCAATTATTAGGGAGATAATATCTGGTTCACTTCCTCTGCTTTCCCCCACTTTATTTTTGGATTTACAACAGTCCTGTTTGGTAGGTTGAGCAAAGGTGGAATGTGGATCTGATCATTGTTTTAAAAAGGAATGTATGATGCTTCCAGGCCTGAATCCTGCCATGACTGAGGTTTGAATCCTTCAAAAAAACATGTATAAGTTTTATTGAAGAGTATTATTTGGGGTTATTTCTTAATTTGCAAATTTTGTCTTTGGGTACATTTTCTTGCAAACATTTTGTCTTCATTTAACTGAATTTTCTAAGTATAGGCAATCCTCGCTTGACTACAAGCTGTGAAACCTTACCAAGGGAGTTTACATCAAAATAAGAAGGGCACCTTCCAAATATACTTTTAGGCCCAACAGTTTCTGAGTCATACTTTTTATTAGGAATGCAGAATTCTTCTACCCGCTTAGGAAAGCATTTTGCAGTGATAACAGCGTCATGGAAGTTTCTGTGTCTTTTATAAATAACAAAAAAAAAGGAAGATGGGGAAATGCTGATGATTTTGCTGTTGATGTCAGATCTATATGGGTGATTCATTTTGTAAGTCACTTTTGATGCTGAATGTAAAAAGTGGCTGAAGATACATTTTCATCTTGAGAGAAAAATGTCAGGCACTTTCCATTTTATACCATGCTCTCTCTTGCATACTCTCTCAGTACATGAGGCAGTTGAAATAATTTGAGTGCCTGAAACAAGGAATAAAATAACTATCTTTAAAGAATTGGGGCTGGGGTGGGAGGGAGGGAGGGAGGGAGAGAGAGAGAGAGAGAGCATCTTGTCTAACAGTAACATGAAAATGGAGGCCACATAGTTAAAATCTTCAGATCAACTATATCCATGAAGCTTCGAATCCAGTATCAGCAATATAATTATTTTTGCTTGGGAATAGATTTTTACCCATATTACTTCTTCCAAAGTTGGCCAATTCTGTTCTTGAGTTATAGTTTCCTTCCTGATAGTGATGACAAATGATAGAAACTACAGTCTAACCGTGGTATCTGGGGGACCATATATTGCCTTCCCCTGCTTTAAACAGATAATCTTCAGAGGCTTTTGCCAATCTGGTCAAGGACAAGTGAAAAGTAATCCCCCTCCCACCCAATTTAAATGTACACACACATACACATGGTAATAACAGGGCAGGGGTGTATTGGATGGGTCTCATAAAAATCAAGATACAACCCAGAGTTACAAAGGAAGAAGAGCTTTACATCAGAAAACTAGCCAGGTCTCCAAAGTAGATCAGTTTGTGCTTTAGATTGTGGACTCAATAATCTGCTTTTTTTCTACTCAAATTAAGTACAATAACACACCAACTTCATGGATAATTTGTCCTAAGCTGCATTTTATCATTGATAGTCAATCCTGTAAACCAAGAACTCCAGAAAGTTCAGCTAATATTTGCCAGAACATGACAGTGTTGCTTCAGTTACTGTCAGTGGGACAATACCCCAATGTTTAGAAACCATTCCTGTGTTACAGGGTTCAGGAGACTGAAGTTAAAAGATTCCGGAGACCAAACACAAATGCATTTTTAGCCATGGAAGCTTAATAAGTGACTTTATGCCAGGAGATAATGTATCTCAGCCCAACTATTCGCAGGGTTATTGCAGAAAAAAATGGCGAAAAGAATGTTCCATTTGGGTTTATGTTGAGATACAAAGTGGTTTGTTTGTTTCTGGTTTTTGATGTTATGTGAACTTAGCCATTGGCTTCTAGATATACATATAATTTATGTGCCACATTGAATTCCTGAAAGAAAGACCAGGTTATTAATCCAACATTTAATTTTTAAAAGCTAATGCAAGAAGCCTAAGAATATTATATCTATGCAGCTGACAAATAATTACTGTAATGTACCATCTGAAAAAGGGAAAGAGTGGTAAAGCTATTTAGGAGAGGAGACTAAATGGTTTGACTTTCCGGTGAGAGACGTCTTTTGTTGAGCATGAGTGAAAAATTTTCTTAGTCATTTGGAAAGCTCTCCTCCTAATCCACACTGTTCTGATCCTAAAACTTAGATGAGAATTATCGTGCAGGATTGGATTCTGGCAGCTTAGGTTGCAGTTCTCCCTGACTGAGGAGTGTTTTGTTCCACCAAGGATTGTGATGCAAATCTGCAATACTATAGTGTTGAACTGCTACAGGCTTCGGTCATGTCAATATGGCGATAGAGCTTTACAATAATGATCTTATTAAGGTGAGCTGGAGAGCCTGTCTGACCTGTATTATTTTACTCAGTTACATCTCCTTTCTGCATTTTGGGTTGAACTGGTTCCAACCCGAATGTGCTGCTGAGCTGTTGCCAGTGTGCTTTTTATTAAGTAATAGTCTTAGAAAGTAAAACCTGAGTCTTTAATGTGGCCTCTCCTACTTGTTTTAATACTGGTGAGAATAATCTTATATTTCACCAAAACTATGTGTATTTAGTTTCTGGCTTCCTGGATAATTGAGGGTTCCTATTAAGAAGACTTGAACAATTCTTGCTATAGAAAAACTGCTGGATAGGCCTCTTCTGTTTGGAATTAAAGGTGAAGGTGTTAAAGCCAGACAATAGCACTCAGATCAAAGTAGCCAGCAGAAGGGGGCCACAAGAAGCGCAGATTGTCCCATCGCATCACAAAAGGTGCCACCTCTCTTTCTCTGTAATTGAATTTCATGAAAGAAGCAAGGCTATTCTTTCCAAATGTAATTTAACCAGCCCCCTGGCTGGATGGACAAGGAAAGCACCTGCTTTGTTTCCTTGAGGTGTAGGCAACCGACCCTCCTACCCTAATGCGGGGTGGTTAACTCAGAACTTCAATGTGTGGAGGCAGCAGCAACATCTGTTGGCCAACACAGGTGATAATCTCATTCATGACCTAATATGAGGCAAATTTGGACTCTAAGGACTTTCCATGAACATATGTTCACATATCTTGAAAAATGAGGTGCTCCTTCTCAATGCCACCAGTCCAAGCTCCTTCATTTTGCCCACTGCTTCACTTTGACAGGAATGTCTTCTGAGCATGTGCAAATGTGAAAGGCCAACAAAGCGACAGAGGCTAGAAGTAGGAATACTGCTTCATTTGCCAGAATCATATCAGAGGGATATAATATAGTATATAATATAGGAGGGAAGTCTCCATAGTTTCATGTGGACCTAGGTCTTTTGAAAACTTTATTTTCTTTTATTCATAAAGATTATCCAAATCATGTAGTATATATATATATTTCACTAGGCCAAGAGCAATGACACTTGGGGCTACCTAAAAGACTTCTGCTAAGACCAAATATTGTAAAATGTAACCAAAATATTATCATACCACTCCCTTGGGTTTTATTCCCCTTAAATAAAGTGATAGCTTTCAAAAATGTGTTTTGTTTATATGAATGCCTTGATCCATTCCTTTTATATGTACTTTTCTTGAATTCAACCAATAATTCACAATTAATAGAATTGTCACCAAGCATATTCAAAAAATGAAGCTGCAGTTTGAATGGGATACACCTATATTTTGATTTGTCAAGGAAAGAACAAATAATTATTGATGTACTTATAAAAAAAATAGGAATATTTTTTTAGATGCACTTCATAGCACATTTTCAGGATTTCAATTCTTACTTCTTATTGCTGAGTGTATAAAGGTGGATCTACATAGATCCTATTCAGAGAAAATAAAGCATAGGTTGCAATCTGGCCAAACAAATGAATGCTACAAAATACATTGATGGACTAAGAATTCATCTTCTTGAGTATCTAAGATTACATTTAAAGTAAAATGTAAGCGATGAAAGTATATTTGAAAATATAAATAATACTGTCCAGAAGTCATTGTACCCAACCTATTATCCTCTTTGTAAATTTTCATGTAGATAGCATACAGATAATTCACGGTATTTTTAAATTTTAAATGGTTTTAACTGTAACCCTATGTTCCATCACAAGATGTTCAAGTGTGATGAGATTATAGGATTTTTTAATCTCATACTTTGAGAATAGAGTGAGACTTAATTTCAGACCGACCTCTTCTGTAAAGAAGAAGTATTTTAGAGTTGAAACTCACAGAATTTAGCAAAGAGGCATTCTGAAATTTCTCCTTTAGATCAACAAGAACCAAAGCTCTGTTTTGTGAGAGAAATTCTGAGCAGACTTCACTGGAAGGAAAATGGAGGAGTGGGGGAATAAAAGAAATATAAGTAGATAATGACAGCCTGCACTTGAACAAAACGGAGACAGTATGTTTTAGCAGGAGGAGGCTTTTAACACTTTATCTTCAAATACAGGTAGTCCTTGACTTACAACAGTTCATTTAGTGACCGTTCAAAGTTACAACAGCACTGAAAAAATTCTTTTTCACAGTTACGACCTTTGAAGCATCCCAATGATCATATGATCAAAACTCAGATGCTTGGCAACTGGTTCATATTTATGACTGTTGCTGTGTCTGAAGGTCATGGGACCACCTTTTGCAACTTTTTGACAAGCAAAATCAATGGGGATGC